GAGCGGGCCGGAGCCGTCTGTCCTGCTGGCTTCCCGTTTTAGACCCGTGGCAGCCTCCAGCTTTTGGCGCCGTTGTTTTCCTTCATATCTTCTGTCAAAGTTTGTTTTAAGAAAAGATTCTGTGCAAGTCCTATACTTCAATTGTGAGCTGGAAATGTACCACTCCCAAGAGCAAGGTTTACATTTCAGTGCTCTTTCTGATCCCGGAGAAAAAGGGTTGTCTCTTTTTTAAGACAAGTTAAAAAGTATAAATGATACAGTGAAAGGGAGAGGAGCTGCTCAAAAGGAAGGACCAACCGTGATGGAGGTAAAGAGGAAAAAAAGGGGGAAAAAATGTGTAGATAGACAGACGCACGTACTAAGACAATCGAACCACGAATCTGTTAGCTCACTGAAAGGAACAGCCGGTGTGACACCGTCCGCCAGGCTCGCATGCCTGTACCTGGTCGCCTGAGAAACCGCTTTGACGTTAACAATGTGCAATACAGCCATTGTTAATTCTGTATTTTTTCCTCTCTTTAAAGAAAAAAATAGATACCAGATATCAAACAGGCCAGAGACAACCGTCTCTGGAAGCGTTCTCTAGCTCGAGGCAGCACCAGGCTTCAGGAATCACTCCTCCTCACGTGCTCCTGGCGCAGCCCGCCCGTTTCCTGGCTCTTCCTTCTGCGTTAGCTCCTTCCCTTTGCATTCTCCAGCAAGTAGGACAGCCTTCCTGTCTCCTCTCCTGCACCCTTCAGTGAGGTCTCCAGGGTCCTCTGCACATGCCTGAGGAGTGTGTGAGTGCCTGTGAATACACGCGTGGCGTCGGTGAACCAGGCGTGCCCGCAGGGTAGATGCAGGCCTGTGGAGGCAGGAGAATGTCCTCATGCAGATGCCCACGTCACAGCCCTCGGGACCAGTAAATGTGGAAACTGACGGCAAAAGGGATAGCATAGCTGTGACTACAGATCTTTGTAAGGGGAGATAAGTATGTATCGTTGCGGTGAGCTCCATGTAATAGAAAGAATTCTTAAATGGGAATGAAGAAGACAAGGAAATCAGAGAAATCAGAGCTAGAGAAGCAATATGCAGATAGAAACAGGACAGAGAAAGTGTGAGAAGAGAGAAAAGGGAGGCATAGGAGAGAGGAGAGAGACAGAGAGGAGAGAGAGTGTGGAGAGAGGGAGAGAGGGAGAGAGAGAGAGAGAGGAGAGTGTGAAGAGAGAGAAGAGACAGAGGAGGGAGAGAGAGAGGAGAGAGTGTGGAGAGAGAGAGAGAGAGAGAGAGAGAGAGAAAGAGAGAGAGAGAGAGAAGAGTGTGAGGAGGGAGAAGAGACAGAGGAGGGAGAGAGAGAGGAGAGAGTGGAGAGAGAGGGAGAGAGAGGAGAGTGTGAGGAGAGAGAAGAGACAGAGGAGGGAGAGAGAGGAGAGAGAGTGTGGAGAGAGGGAGAGAGAGTGAGAGAGAGAGAGAGAGGAGAGTGTGAGGAGAGAGAAGACAGAGGAGGGAGAGGGAGAGAGGGACAGAGAGAGGGATGAGAGTCTTAAATTTAAAAATCCTGTAGGAACTTAGGTTGCCTCTGGAAGCTAGAAAAAAAAAAAAAATGGAAACAGATTGTCACTCCGATTTTCAAGGAGGAAGGCAGTGCAGCTGACACCATAGTTTGGGGGCGGCTGACCTCCACAGCTGTAAGGTAATAAATTATGTTCTTTTTATACCACTAAGCCTGTAGCAATTTGTTATAGCAAGCTAATAGAAACACTACATTACTGTATTTGTTATAGCAGGAATAACACCGTGTGTGTGTGTGTGTGTGTGTGTGTGTGTGTGTGTGGTGAGTGCACCCCTGTGCATGCAAATGGTGGAGAGATTATGTTCCCGTGCAGTGCGTACCAGTATAAGAAAGGTTATAATGAGATTTTAAATTCGATTTCACATACAAATAACTCATAGCTTTCTTTAACAATAAAATCACATCATGGTCATTTGAAAAGTTCATTTATTATATACCAATATACACTTTCTGTAATAAAAAAAATCCTCCCAAAACATTGAACCGTCTTATAAATGAAATACGAAAATAAAAATTTCCTGTTTACAAATGCAGTTACATTAACCGGCACAGGACGCTGTCTGTAGGCCTGTCCTGCAGTATGTGAGACCTCTGCACCGACGGCAGCCACGAAGGAGGGGGTGCTCTAGTATCTGGCACTGCAGCTCGGCTCTTGAAGAGTTACAATTACACGTGGCCGGATTTTCAAGTCAATCATTTAAAAATGTAAAATATATACAGGTTTTATAGTTTTCTAATATTTTGGATTAATCCTTAATATATACATTTAAACACCTTCAGATTCAACACTTTTTAACATGCAGAACACACTTTATTCCATTTTCTGATTTGAAAGCACTCTTTAGACAAACAAAAATGGGACCATATCTTAAGGACGCTACTCGACACAGTTTTTCCAAGTGATCATAACTTCAGAGTTAGCCTCTCGTGCTGCTCTTTCCATAACAAAGTGCACCATTTTACAGCAATGCATCTTTAGAAAATGATACATGAAACAAATATATACTTTCTTAGTCACACTTCTGAGAAAATTACAGAAATATGATTCGGTCTATTGAAAGGCGATATAGGCCACTTATATTTCATACTTAGCTTTACTAACCTATAAAACTTACAACCAGTGTTCTTGCTAGTGATTTGAAAAGAAGGCGGTGAGCTCCACTAACCCGCGGCCGCGGACGGCAGTCTTCCACCCCACTCCATGGATGGCTGCTACAGGCAGCGGGAAGCGCGACAGCCTGCATTTCGTGTAGTGTTAGCACTTACATTTCTACGGACAGCTACTTGCCATTGTCCTAAAGGACGAATGAATGCTAGCAAACACCCCTGCGAGCTAAAGTGAGCTGAATCTCATTTTAGACGTATTAAATTAAAGGAGCAACCTAGCTCTGTTAATGATTTGCAAATGGGTGATTCATTTTCTTATACATGATTGTATTATTGTAAACATCAAGCAAGAGCATTCCTGAACTGTGCGACTCGGTTTCAGATTTAAAGTCACTCCAGTGGGCAGATACACGCATGTGGACTTTCGAACCCACCAGCTTAGTTCCCTGACCCCACTCCCAATAATATAAATGTCTTGACTGTGAGAAAGAAAGCGACACATGTAAAAAATAAAAATCAAATGTACATTCTGGTGACTACACAATAAGATTATATACACAAACATACAGCAAATCACAGTTTCCTGCACTGAATGTTTATCAAACAAATGTGTATCGAACAATACTGGGTAGTTCGGGTAGTTTCTCCACATGACCTGTGTGAGCTGTGGCCTTCTAAAAATTCTGAATGAGAATGGAAGACGAGAGGGACAGCGTTGTTCAAGGACAAAAGAATGACACTGGACGAGGTGTAGCATTGAAAAGCACAAGCTTCCACAGAGGCAGCCTAGCGCTATGCAGTATGATGTTTGCTGTTGCTCTATAAGTAAAGACCCTCTCTACAGTTGGTTAGATGTCTTAACACGTGCCAAAAAAAAATCCACTGAGTGAAGCGGTTACTAGTTCAATGGCATGAGTAGTCTGGGCGAAATGCTCAGTAAGCGTTGCCATATGTGCTTGGCCTGGAGTCTGGTCACCTGTGTGCCTCCCGGCGATTGGCCACAGGAGCAGCTTTTGGCTCCTGTTAGCCAAGGTGTTGGGCGCAAGACGGGAGACAGCATTGGGTGGCGGTATCTTTGCCCCCAGGGTGTCTTAGTTTGATATTCTGAGAATCCGAGTTTGTTACTTTGTGGGGAATACCGGTGGGGAGCGGGCAGGGAAAAGGAATGCCCTCCGCTGACTATCCGCGCAGCCACGCTCACAGTGCTTGTGCAGCGGCAAGCACACAGCCTGGTCATCCCACGTGTTCTAGTAAAAGCTGGTGGAAGCGGGCACAGACTGGAAACATACCAGCTGCCCTGCCTGACCAAAGCCATGGTCCTCTCTTGCCGGAGTCTGCCGACGTCACTGGCAGACGGCTTTGGGATCTTCCTGGCGTCATTTCCTATGAGTAACATTCCAATCAAGGTACTGCAAATGTCTTTGGGCGCGTGACTTGCAACCATTTCCAGTCGAGAAAGAAAGCGTTTCCCTTCAGGTTAGTGATGCTTGGACTTCGGAGGCTCATAAATCCAGTCGATTATGATGAGCGCCATGCTCCCAATCATGAAGATGACGCCAACGACAAGGAAAGTGACAGCCTGCAATTCACAGAGCACGTGTGAGGGGAGACGGGGGACAGCTGCCACAGTTGGCTTTTGTAAGACGTTTGTGCAAACTGACACCTTTGTTTGCATATTTCATTAAAGTATTACTCATAACTCATTATCTAACAAATCCGTCAATTCAGAACCCACTTCAGAGAAAGGAACTACAGTGGAGAGACAGAACATAGAGTTTCAATGATTCCGAAATGATAAATTGATTTGACACATCAAAATAACACCATACCTCCTGGTCATTAAAAATTAAATGACAGAAAAACATTTAATCACCTCTGGAAGCCTAACAGTTATTTTTTAATGAAAAAGAACAGATAAAGAGAAGAGTAGTATGTATGATACGATTCTGATTTTATAAAGTGAACAAACAAAAGCAAAAGCCTAATATGCGTTGCATATTTCTGAAAAAAACAAATATTCTACAAAAGATGTATCCATCAGGAAGAAAAAACTTATATAAATTTTTTAAAGATTTATTTATTTATGTATTTGATACAGGGTCTCTCTACGCAGCTCAGACTCATAATGACCCTCCTGTCTCAGCCTCCCCAGCACGGAGATTACAGGTATGCGCCACCACACCCAGTTTTGGTGGCCCACATGGTGTGGGGCCTTCATGGTATGCAGTACCGGGGGTTGAACCTGGGACCTTGTGCTTGCCCAGAAGGCGATGAGACTACTGAACTATCTCCCCAGCCCTTGTAATATTTTAATACTAATTTCTTGAGACATCACGAGATTAATACAAGCTACCTTTGGCCTCTACAATTGCCAGAGGTAGTCACCGTGGTGGCCATGAGCATCCCAATGTCTACTGGTTCAGTGAGATGCTCAAGTGTGCATGCACGTTTAGTAGACTCCATAGAGCACATATCTCTGTATGTATGCACACTTCTGACACAAAACATTTTAGACTTTTCACACTAGAAGAGGAACTAACTATTCCATGCAGATCAGCCTTTTAATTTTCTATATAAGAAAGCAGCAGCTCACGTTGTCCACAAGCACTGGTCTAGGACAGTGCTGGACAGCCTTTTAGAGATGTGCACCTACACTGCAGACGCAGCCCCACCGCCAAGATGCCAGCAGTGCAGCGAAGCCTGAAAACAGGTTTTAGCTTAGAAAAAGCAACTCTTATCTTAACATCTTCTGTCTTAAAAGAAAACCAAGCAGCATGTATGACATGGGTATGTCAACACTGGTGTAAGAAATGACTTTGCTCATTTTATATCTGGTCAAACTAAAAATGGGTCACAAATAGCTTAAGTAACTTGCCCCAGTAACTCTGCTGTCAGAGTTGGGGCAAGACGGACCACATGAAGAGGGACTCCAGCGGCGAGATGGTGAGAAGAGCTTTTGATACTAAACTCTCTCAAAATCCCTGAACAACCTCAGGAGATGATTAAGGCAGATATTCAGAGTAATTCAGCAAGAAGCCTTTTTTTCAAGCCTTAATATAAGATCTTCCAGATGCACAGCTATGTTTATAGCGGCATAGCTAGCAAGAGCCAACTCTTGGGAAAAGTGCCCAAGTGCTCATCAAGTGGTGAGTGGATGAGAAGACTGCTTTGCTACAAGGGAGCACCACTCTGCCACAAGAAGAACACAGTCCAGATATTTCTAGGAAAACTGAGGCACCCTGAGGCCACAGCCCTAAGCGAAAGGCATCAGATACGTGTGTGTGAATACTACACGGTCTCTCTGATGTGAGAACTGGAAGTGTAAATAAGGACCAAAATGTAGACGAGGTATTAGGAAATAGGAAGACAATGTTCAAACGGGGAAGTGGACAGGGAGAGGGGAGGGGAAAGGAAAGCAGGAAAATTTTTTTTAAATGGTAAAAAAAGGAAAATATGGAAACAAAACTTTGTGGATGGGGAGGAGAGGAGAGGTTGGAGGGAGGGTAGGGGAATGGGGAAAAAAGAAGTATCACATATAGGTACAACTTCACTATGATGAACGCGATCATTGCATATAACTAAAATGCAAATAAAATCTAATCTTAAAACAGTTAATATAAGATCTTAAGTTGTCACTGATCATACTAAAAAAACACATGCCTACCATATGTTTCAGGAGTCCTCTGTGGAAAAGAAATGTGTACTTCCCAGTTTGATACGATGATATTTTATATGTAAAGAGGGTCACTGGAGAACAAATGACCCCCCCCCTTATGTCTTAATCCACACCACATGACAGCAGGCTACAAAGAGGAAAAATTAAAGCAGCCCCGACTTGGCAGCAAGCACAACCAAAACATTGCTTTGTCCACTGACTCTGCGAGGAGCCTAAGTCCTTCCTGATAACTCCCCAGGGGAGCACCCCACTAGTGTCTGACCTGGAGGGGAGCTGAACGCAAGACGCAAGACGACTGAAGAAGAAATCCTAGACTTGGCTGCCTGCCCAAGACCCACCTCTTCTCCCCTACGAGAGAGAGCCAGCGCATGCGGTGCTGGATCCTTCGTTGCTTCATTTGGCTGCGCCTCGTGTGTTTTCTGGTTTATGTTTAGTTGAAGAGCAAGTTGGAATGGGAGAAACTGCAAGCCTTACTTACCCCGACCTTTTGGGGTGACCTGAAAGATTCTTTCTTGACAAGTCTAAGGTAGAAAGCTGCGGGGAGGATGAAGATCAGCATCGTGGCGGAGGAGGCCCCTGTGGAGAGAAACAGGCGTGGGAATGAATTTCTGGCGTGGGAGGTCTCCCCTGAAGGCAGATACACTAGAGCACACACTCCAGAGAAACCAAAAAGGAAAAGAGCTGCCCTAGACTTCTTAGCCCTGAAAGATGTACTTCAGTAACATCAGTTTGTCTGGGTTGCTTATTTGTACAAGGTATGTTTATAAAAAAAACTTCTTGCAGGCACAGGGGCCGGGAGTTCGATCCTCGCCCTTGGGACACACTGAGACGGCAATTGAGACTAGGCATGGTGGCGCGCCTGTAATCCCAGCTCTTGGGAGGCTGTAAACAGGTGATCATTACGAGTCTGATCTAGTAGTGAGACCCTGAACGCCCTGTAGACCCTTCCCTAAAAATACAATAATAATAATAATAATAATAATAATAATAATATGTTCTTAACATTATCGCTGTGTAAGATGCATAATACACAATTAAAGGCTGAAACATACTGCAAATTGACAGAGGATTAGTAACATAATGAGTCCACCCTAAGGAGGTTGAACTCATCACAGACCTTCCTTTTCAAGTTATTTATGCACAACTTTTATAAAGTATTGTTTTCAAACTTTGAATAAATCCTCATCCAGAAGGAGAATATATATATAGTCATAGTCCAAGCAGTTAAGGGAAAGGAAATGCCTTCGCAGCACCCTCCTGTTCCTCTGACAGTGTCCCTGCGGGCTCAGCCCACCCTCAAGACGCCTGCGTGGTGGGTGAAGCGGCTCTTCCTGGCGCCCTGCCTACGGCGATTTGGGAGCCACATCCGGTCGTCCCTTCGCCCCTGGTCAAGGTCTAGGCATGTACTGCGTTCCTCTTCTGTCAAAATGCAAGTGGACTAAAAGGCCCGTAGGTCAGTGCCCAGCCCCTCCGGATGGGAGGCGCGGTGTGGAGCCCAGCGCCCCGCAGCCCGGCGCCCCGCAGCCCGGCGCCCCGCAGCCCAGCACCCCAGAGCCCAGCAGGGCTACGGAGTCCCGGCAGCCTGCCACCGAGCTGGGTCCCCAGCGCCCAGCGCCGGCTCCCTGAGCACCATTCAAGGAGTAAACTCGGGTTGACTAAATAAAAGTCCTTCTTAAACTTACCGATGAATCCGAAGATGTACTTTATAGTTGGCACGAGGATGACCAGAACATTATTAAGCACAATAATTATGGTGGCAATGACGAAGTGCCGGATCCAGCTGAAGGGTCTTGTGGGAAATAACAGCGTAATCACCGAAGTGCGAATCTGTGACAAGAACGCCCAACGGCAAGGTCAGTGACTGTGTTTTAGCTTTTTCTACTATTGTATACTTTCTCTTTTTTCTAAAAGTTTTTCTTTTTCCCTAGAAAGGATTGTGAATTCTTCCAAATATTGTTTATTGTGTTATTGTTTATTGTGTTAAAATATACATAAGGTAGAATTTACCACCTAATCACTTTTTAAGTATAAAGTTCAGGGAATTATATACATTTATATTGTCGTGTAACCTTCATGCTGAGCTTTGATGTCTGAGCATGCCAGTCTTCCTTGGTGGCATATTGTTTGTTCATTTTCTCACCTTTTAGAATTTTAGATTAAGAATGATCTCAGTTAGAAAGAGATAAATAACAGATAAGCTAAACAACCCAGACTAAACTCCTGCTGACATTGGCCAAGTTGTCTCGTCCGACTGGCTTACATATTAAAGGTGAATACAGAACTTATTTTCACTAGACTGCCAAAGAAATTTCTACAAATCTGAATTCTTCTTTCATTTGTTATGTTTAATATTTTTCCATTTGATGCTTTTCTGTTTACTCCTTTTACCTTATCACCTATAGGTTATAACTCCATAAAAGGCAGGGAATAAGATGTAGTATTTTTCAAAGAGTCTAGGTGCTTGCCACAAGTAGCAGGCAGTTAGTAAGTGTCCTCCCTGTCAGAGTCCGCGACGGATTTTGGCCTTATTTCAGTGGCTGACGTTAAGTAGGCAAAAGATCAGAGGCTCATGTGCCTGGGCTGCTCCGGTTGCTGAGGCCCGGGCGGCTGGAGCCCCGTTGCTGAGGCCCGGGCGGCTAGAGCCCTGCTGCCGAGGCCCGGGTGGCTGGAGCCCCGTTTGCTGAGGCCTGGGCGGCTGGAGCCCCGTTTGCTGAGGCCTGAGCGGCACAAGCAGGGCCCACAGTTATGTCCGCACAGCTTACAGAGTTGAAAACACACTCATCTTTAGAATCGTTGAAGGACACTTTTTTTTGCTTAGTAGAATTTCTCTATTGGATTTTCAATAAGTGAGCACTTCAGTCAAGCCAGGACTTCGCATCTTGAGAAATGCTGGGATTGATTTTTATTTACTAAGTTCAAAAGGCTCAGTGGCATAGAGACAGGAAGTCACTCAAAAGAAAGGCAATGTAAAATACATTTTGAAACATGTATGAACAGCAAAAAATGCAAACTAAATTGCTTGCAGTTTCTCATGTGACATTCCTTTCATACCACCCAAAATTAAAGCCATCTGTTTAGAAGGAAGAGGGAATTTCATAGCTGGAGTGGCAAACCGGATAGTCCCCAAAAATGGTTTAAGAATGACTTTTAAAGGATTTGAAAAACTGGATTAATGAAAACTATGAGCCTCATTTTGAAAAGCTCATCAAAGAGGTGCACGATGGATTCACAGTGTTTTCTCCTGCAGCAGACATGTTCTACTTTACGGCCCACGACGAGTGTTTACTTAGTACTTCTCTGTGTGGTCTACTAAGTACGCTCAAAATAAGCTGTGATGAATATGCAGTGTTTAAGGACTCGTCCGACTGTCTGAAACGTACAGAATAAATAAGTCGAATGGAGGCTCATTTTTCAGTCCAATGTCACATGTGCACGCTGTTTTTAGTCCTTGATGAAATGGTGCCGGTAGCTGAGCTGTTGGTCTATGAAGCTGTTAGCTGCATGTAAGGGCTTTGTGCGTAAGTGCAGCTTCCTGTGGTCTCGTGCCTTCCAGAAAGACCCAGGCTTTGCCTAGCCACGTGATAGGGCAGAGTAGTAGACTGGTGGGAGTCTGCGGTGAGTGCTTTGTCATAGTGAATAATGGATAAGAAAATTGCACAGAAGAACAAAAACTAATATGGAGCTGCCTGAATAGGGAACAACAGTGAAGAGGGAGACAGGCTGGTGGTCGTGGTGGCCATGGAAGAGAATAAGAAAGAAACTTGCTGGTCATGCCACATTAATGCAGCCTCAGGACTCAGCCTGGGGTCAAGAGCCTTCTGCAGCTCTCTGGTCCTCGCCAGGACAGGAGGAGGCAGGCCCACGCCACAAGCCCTGCTGGTCCTTTTGTCCTGAGCCTGTTCCTCTACTGACATCAACTGGTAAGAATGTGGAAATGTGCGTCATGCGCTTGGGGAGAGCAAGTCCCAGCAACAGCTGGGACCTCTGGCCCAGAAAACTTCTGTGCAGCTCTGGAGCAAAGACAACATGGCCTGAACCCAGCCTGATAGGGGGTGCTGTGGTCTGGTGCCAGGATCCAAAGGAGATGGGGTACCCGGGGAGCGCCTTGACTCTGAACTATAAACATGTATTCAGTCCCTTAAATGTGGCTCATACCTTCACTTCTGGGGATTGCTGTAAGGATAGGGTGTTACAAATGCCACTCTGGGCAACACCTGGCATGTTTTTTCTATGTCTATACCCACGTCAACTTCAGTCCCAAATGCAGAGATCAAGTGAGACTGTCATTGAAAGACTTTGCCTGCGTTCTCCTCTTTTATGCATTTGTTCCACCACACACACACACACACACACACACATGCACACACACGCAAGCACGTGCGCACACACACACACAGACACACACACACACATTTTGCATCTTGTACTATAGAGGAAAAGAAACCCTCACCTAAGTAGAGAGAAGAAAGACAGTATGGAGAGTAAAACAAAAACAAGCAAGCAAGCCCTTACGTTTTCAGACTTTTTGAGTTGTTATTTGCTAAAGAAAGGGAAACACCAAATAATAGCTATAGCGGATCGATGTGAATCCAGTCTGGGTTTACCTGCATCAGTGTTTCTATACGAGATGTCAAGGCAAGTCAGTGAACTTCTGAGCTGCCACTGAGAAGCCTGTCGGGAGAACGGTGCGGTGTCTGGCATACTGAAAACCTTGGCTCTAAGTCATAAGACACAAATCAACAAAAGTACCACTAGCATCGCCTGTCCTTTTGGCAAGACCATGTCCAAATTTAACCTTGTGGGATCTGACCAGGGCACAGGTTGGACGTCTCTGGTTCCACATCCACGGATGTCTCTGTCACATCTACAGAGGTTTGATTCTCAGCCTGGATCCTCACTCACCTTGACTCCGTGTCAGCAAACACTGCGGAGCTCACGCTGCCTGCCTGCCTGCTACTACACACGTGCACCGCCAGTGACCTCTGGGCCGTGGAAGGTCCTAACTGCAGACCACTTCCCGGTTCCCTTGTGAAGGTGGACGCAGGCCGGCTGCGTGCCGGGGGTTGCAAGGAGGCCCACGCTGAAGGAGAGCTATTTGCTATTTTTCTGATTTTGGTTTAGTGATCTAATATTTACAAATGATCGCTTTTCCTGGTGATCAGATTCATTCCAGGGCTTTCTCTCCCCTCCTTTCTAAGAGGAGTTTGGGATTTTGATCTTCGGGCGAAGTGCTCACTGATAAACAAAAGACTGGCTTTTACTCCCCATCCAGCGATTTTACAATGTGCTGAGGGCTGCATCTCCCGCTGGCTACGTCCACCTGTCTGCCATGGCCACGGCTGTGCCCATCGATCTCATGGGACCGTGGCCTAAAAACACTATCTTTAGGACTTCTGAGTCAAAGGACACAAAAGCACGTCTTTCACACGACACTTTACTCCCACAATGATGCTCTAATTCAGATGTGCCAGACTCAGTTGGTGACACCTTGACCCACACCAAGAAGGAGTCCGGATATTATTTTCTCGAGAAATAGCTGGCTTGGCAATCTGACCCTACCGTGCACTGTCAGGGCTACAGCTGTCCACTGCTCTGCACCCAGGGTGGAGCTGGTTTTAGACCAAAGCTGGGCATAGGTCATTTGAAATACTTTCAGATACATTAGAGGGAAGATCTCATTTAAGAGTAAATTATTAGCTACCATAATAAGAAGGATCTGATTTCATGAGACAGGAATGCACCAAAATACACTTCAGCACAGAAGCTGCATTTAAAGCAGCCACAGTGCTTGGGGCCTGCCTGGGACATTCTCCACACTACTGTGCTGGTTACTCTGTTGCTTTTTTTTTTTTTTTTTTAACTCCTGAAATGAATGAGTAAATTCAGTAGCTATGAAAAGAGAAGAGTTGGCAGGTGGGTGAGGACCGGCGCTTCTCCCCAGGCAGTGGTTTAATTCACGAGGCCGAGTCTCCGCCGCCAGCCCCACTCCCTGGTAATCGTGGAGCAAGCCGACAGTTGTGGCACGCGCCGAGGATGGGGGTCCTGGTCTGTCTTCCCAGCGGCGGGCATCACTTTGGGTGGGGGTGGGGGTGGGGGTTGCAGAAATGCGATGAATAAAGGAAGCATTGTTTTAGAAATTCGGTCCTAGCATGTACTTTATCAGCGTGAATCCCTTCCTCATGGCCTTCCTGGCCAGACACAATACGGCAATTCTGAACATCACTGCAGCGTGGCGAGGGGGAAAGACCCGGAACACCGCCCAAACTGTGGTGGAGACTCAGCGCGATGTGGGAACTCAGGTGGCTTCGGCTCTCAAGTTTCAGATGTTCTATGAATTCTTGCTCACTGGTCCCAATCCACAGCTTTCTGAATTGGATACTTTATGGATGTGAATTTAAAAATAAATACCACGATTTTCTCCCTGCATGTAAAAATATCGCCTGAAAGTATTTCCTACGTCTACATATTATGTGGACAGTTTGGGGGCTCGAAGACGCCATGTGAGAAGAATAATGTCCTTGGGTGTTGCAACCGCAACCTTACTTCATAATTAGAACCACACGGAGTCAGGCCCACTGCTGACCAGGTTTCTATCACCAGAGATGCGCGTACTTACCGGGAACAGGACAATGGGCACAGTGAGTGTGACTGCAACCAGGACGGCCAGGCGCACCATGAGCAGAGGCGTGTCAAAGGTGTACACTTTGCTGTACGCGTGGAGCAGTTCATCCTCAACCTCTCCTGTGAGGGGGAGAAGGGAGTGAGCCCAGCCACCCGGTGTTGCCTCTCCCGCACTGGTGACTCCCAGCGTGTTAAGGAGGAGACACGAGGCAGTGAGCGACTAGGGAGAGCTGGACACTTCTGTTCTTCTCTCTGGGCTGTCAGCTACATGAGCAAAGGAGCAAAGCCGCGGGAGTGGACAGAGAACGGCTCGCGCACCATGTGGGGTCACTCCCGTGACAATAAACTGGCCTCTCATTGCGGCTCTCCAAGCACATCATGGAGACTCTAGGACTAATTGTCCCTGACGTGTTCCAACAGTAGCGGTTGTGAGCCCACCTCAACGCTGAGACGCACACTCTGGGCTTTTTCAGGACTTTCTTCTCATGGAACTCTTTAGAGGAAGTGACAGGCAAGGATGAGTGGCACGATTTCTATAGAAGCCCCGAAGAGCGCTTACAAAGATCAGACCCTCCTCGAGAACAGTTTCCTTCAAAATGCTAGCTACAAAGGCCGGGAGATATTTGCGGAATCTGATGCAGTTTGATGTTCCCGTTGTTCTTCTCAAGGTCAGACAAAAAGGGATAAAAGAACTTTCTATGCTATCGACACCAACTTTTATTAACCACAATCGGCAGTAAGTTAATGTCCAATCTAAAGTAACTGCTTGGTTAAAACTCTAATGTTAGTCAAGAAGAAAACAAACCCAATGCAAATGATGGCCCACACAATGCTGTTTACTCCCAACTCCCAAGCAGTCAGTTGAACAAGTCAGTTAAGAAAAATCCAAAAGTTACAGAGACTTATACAAAAGTACATTTATATTGAAACATTGATTAGTGTGAACACATGCTACCTGGTCTATATGTGGTTGCCTTACATGATCTATCACATTTTATGGAAGAAATAACAATGATTCTCCTTTCGGGTATTATTAAAAGTTCAAAAGGGAAAATGACTAATATGTTTAATACTCAAATATGGCCACAATCTGGTGTTTTCCCTTTTGTTTTGGTTGAGTTTTCTTCAGTTTTCTAGAATATTCCCAGATTGAAGGAAGTTCTCTTATATCCTTCTCTTTCTCAGGAAACCTTTCCCTCTAACAGAATAGAAAAACACGAGCCCGACATCGCGCCTCACGTCCCAGGCTGCCTAGAGGACCTGCCTGCTGACTAAGAAGCAGGTTCACACTTCGAGCACAGCTAATTTTCTGCCCCTCTCAGCAGTCTTTTCATCAAAGCACCGCACCAAATGCAGCTGTGTTCATCCTCAGTGCTTCGAGCTGAAATGGGCCAGATGGTCCAGCCAAAGAAGTGGCAGCTATTCCTGAAGGGAAGTAACTGAGCTTGAGAGATTTGCATACGTGAACTCACGGTGAGCTGCTGGCCAGGCAGGCCCTGGGTTCATTTCCTAGGCCAGCGGACAGAGCTAAGTACTGGGGTTTGTGTCATCTACAGATCGTGCAGCTCATGGAGGGTAAGTAAAAGAACTGCTCCTGTGAATTAACAGTCATACAAGACTTGCAACACGCGAATGACTTCGACAGAGTGACCTACCATAGAATGTTAGGTAACCGAAGAGGGCAGCGAGCAGGTACATGACAAGCATCCCTGTGATAGAGATATTTGACACTGTTTGCATCTTCTTCCTGGACCGACTGAAAATAAAAAGAACATTGATTTAGCTGTTTAAACATATGAAAGTATCACTTATTACATAAAGAATATCAAATGAATATGTGTCTGTTGCTAATTATGTATGCATTTCTAGTCCATAAACGTATCTGATTTAACTTTGTCCTGAAGAGCTAAGGAGGAGTTGTTTGCATTTTTCTTGAATATTTCATTCATTCAGTTCTGGAAACAATCATTTCCCCAGAAAAGGATTAGCTTATTTCACGTCAATAAACAAGGCTGACTATGAATAATTAATGTAATTGACATAAAGATCAAACTGGTTCCTAATGTAAAAAGCTTTTGCATTTCACAGTGAAATGAGCTTAATGAGAAAAAGAAACTACAGGAACCAGATAAGGGTTGAGGCCACTAGAAAGCTTGAGATTTTTACCTGGACAAATTCTGGAAACCATTCTAGAGAGTACCCACCCAACAGTCAATGAGCAGGCTTCAGGATACATGCAACATGGGATTTTCAAAGTAAATCAAAGACATTACAATGATTAAAAGTGTTCCAAATTCTTTTATGAGGTAAATTAGATCTATGGGGGAAGGTCTTGCTAGTGTCTGGGTGAAAAGCCCTGAGCACAGTTACATGAGGCCCTGAAGAGAAACAGCTGGAGTGGGGTCAGCCCCATCTTATCCCCAAGGAGATGTCAACAATCTCAACAGAAGAAGACTATAAATGAATCCCAGACTACCAGCTGGAAGAAACAAGATCTGCTAGGCAGCGTCTCCATTGTACAGACAAGACAGTGAAGACCAGATATTGGCACGACTCTTACAGTTGCATGCCTTTTGGGTAAAGGTTAGAAACTGACCACCTGTGTCCTCCATGGTGTAGTAAGGCCACCCCAACCATACTGTTGGTCTTCCAAGGTAGTGTCCTCTCTGATCCAGGTGGTACTGTTATTCCCACCCAAATTCCTTATACCTGTCAGAATCACTGGCTCCTCTTCCACCTCCCCTGACCCCTCTCCTGACCCATTATATCAGAGGGAGAAGAGACAGGAGGCAGAGGAGGTAGCGCAGTGCATGCTCTGAGTCATGCCTCGCCGATTAAAGTACATCATTGCTGAATGGCTGTAATATGAACTTTCTCCAGAGAGAAAGCTATAAGCTGCGCTTCCTTGTAAAGCACCTTTGGGCATATGAGCATATTTTCAAAGCAAATTAAGATGCTAAAACGATGGGTGCCTTACTCTTTAAGTTCACTGTAGATGGGAAGGACCTCAGGGTGGCAAACAAAAGCAAATGCTAGGATAGGAATTGCATAGGCCGTCTGTAAAACAAAGACAAATATTTAGCATTCCGACAGAGATGGCAATCTCAGGCCACCTCAGTTTACGAAATCAAAACACAGAGGCCACACTATTGAGTTCATGAGGAACCCAGGTCTCTAACTTACCCGGGAGTTGAATACAAAGTATTTTGGCTGACACTTGTCATCATGGGCTTCAAACTCTACTCCAGTGCGGTGAAGAGAGCCCTTGGCCTGATTTTCATCCAGCCCTGTGGGATTGCGGTGTGTGTAATCCATCATGAAGTTCACACCAGCACTGTCGGAGTTGTTGGGCAGTGTTATCACATGCACTGGAAGTGTGCTGTTGAACGTAGTATTTCCAACGTTGTGATCCAGCATGGGCAAAGGACAAGGTATTTGAAATTTCTTGTAAATCACCTGAATCCAGTCATTTAAGAAAAAAACAAAGTCAAGTTTTTGAGGAAAAATAATAAATAAAAATCCATACATGTGGATATGAAGCTGGGGTGAGGGAAGTTTTTAAACTAATGAGCTTTGGAGATTCCCTCCAGCCTGTGCTCTAAGAAAAAAAGCTGGAACTGTGGTTGGCAGCCCCATCCACAGGACTGGGTAGGTCAGAAGAAGCCAATTTTATGAGTCCATTGCAAGCCTTTCATGTCCTTCTGAGACAAAGATGGTTGGGATCTTTGCTACATTTCTTTTATTTCTTCAAGCTAACTGCATGGGCCATCAGAATTCCTTCCTCTTCTGCTTCTTTAGGGAAATACTGTATAAGTTTGGCATCTGTAATATCCCAAGAAAACTCTTTTCTTGGTGGTGATGGAATTTCTTTAACCCCACTGTTGTTGCTCTCTCTCTTCCTGAGTCAAATACGGAAAAGAATGGCCGATTCAGGTGAACATGTGGGCAGCCTAGTGATGCCTCTGGCAGACATCTTAACTTCTCCTTTCCCTTCCTCAACGCTGGATTATTGTCATGGCCCTTGGCCAAGTATTTACCCAGAGTGTGGAACATGCCCTTGGCAATGGCCTTGACATCCTAACTCCACTATTTTTAAATTCATGACTGCTCTTTTCTCATTCCAAGCTGAAGCACAATGAAGTTGCTTGTGATCCAGGAACAAAAACAAGGTCACTCGTTCAGGCACCCAAAGCATCTCACGCTCACCAAGCAACAAGAATCATGTCAACGAATCACTTACCACACTGACGAAAAACACCATGCAGGTAAGAGAAAATCCACTGGTATAACCAAGGTAACCTAGGAGTCAGGAGAAATATTTTGAAAGGTGCATATAACATTTGCAAACAGTTTGCCTGCTTGAATATGAAATAAAAATATTCTCACTTAGAGAATGACTTTACCTAAATTTTTAAGAAGAGAAAGTGGAAGAATAATTCCCAAAGACACAAATATGACGAGGTAGCTGCCATTGAGGTACCACTCCCTAGGAGAGAAAAAATGAGGATGTCAGAACTGGAAAAGAGCAAGCAGGGTAGGTCATGGGGGTGGGGCAAAAACATATCAGAAGACATACCCAGAATTTTCTTCAAGTCCCATGAATGCTCTGATCACTTCAGGTAGTTCATATTTAATGATAAAGAGGTAGCTCGACATTGCTGAAATGGAAAATGTGGCAGCTTAGTGGCACATACCACACTACAGTCACACGCAAGCTGTAAAGATGGGACACTCGGAGCGTCCGTTCTTGCTAAGGTGAACACGTAGCCTCCCACACGGAAAAGGAGGTCATTGTGTCTCTTGCACGGCTTCGAGTTCTTCTCCAGTTACTCGTTTAGCCCTCTCGCTTTGACATGTGGATTGCTGTGAAGGAATCAGTGGATTTTGCACTAGTCCAGCTCCCAGGTTTCAGGGAAGCTGCAGACCCAACACGGCAGCCTTCCTGCTTGCCAGTCACCATGGCCTGCACTAGATGTGCCTGTTTCAGGGTCTGGGGGCAATGGCACAGCGGCAGAAGGCCTGGGCTCAGAGGCAGAGTCCAGGCGGGGCTGAGCAGGAGCTCTGTCCCCGGCTTCCCAGGCGGGCACATACATCTGCGGCTTCCCTGAGGGGCACACAAAATCGCGGACCACTGATTTTTGTAATATGGAATCTTCCTGGATTGAAAGAAAAATGTTTAGGAGATGATATCTTCTCTCCTCCTCATAAATTAAAGTTTTTGGTTTTCTTCTCATATTCTAGTCTATCTGGCCAAGTAAGAAATTGCATAAAGTGGCACACTATCATGACGACCTCAGTAAGTGATACACAGAGTGCGCATGACCTGTTGTGAGAACCCAGTGAGCTCAGTAACCCTTCTCCCGGGAAAACTGAATCTGCGCACGTATGTATAATGTTACATCTCCGCCTGTCACTTAAAAATGTCACGCAACCTGCCTCCCTATCTCCACCCATTCATTCAGTGTCACGCAACCTGCCTCCCTATCTCCACCCATTCATTCAGTGAATTATAATGCAAATTTATTAATCAGGCAAGGTAAAAATACTTAACTAAAAATAAAACGGACCAATATTACATGAAAGCTCTAAGTGCGCGCGATATCCTTCTATGCAAGATAGAGGCAGACTCCACGGCAGCTAGGGCGGACTCCAGAAAGCAGACCCGAAATCTTGTTCTTTACTCCAGGAGTTTAAAATGAATATATACATGTGTGTGTGTGTGTGTGTGTGTGTGTGTGAGAGAGAGAGAGAGAGAGAGAGAGAGAGAGACAGAGACAGAGA